CGGGATCTGTCTGGGGCAGGGGACGCTGCTTCTCCCAGGGGTAGGAGTAGGTTCCAGTGGACGCTGCTTCTCCTGGGGGTAGGAGTGGGTTCCAGGGCAGGTGCTGCCAGCACCACAGGTTCAGACACACTACCACCTGAGAATCAGACCTCCCTCAGAAACAAAGGGCAGCCACAGATCCTCAAAACAGTGTGAACAATGAGTTAACTCAGTCCTTGAGCAAAGAATCAATTTTGGGGTATGGAAGAGACCATTTCACAAAGGAATGGTGGTTCCTAGATTCACACCAATTCAGTTTGTCTTGGTCTGACAGCTCAGCAAAGGAGTGGCCATAAATTCACCTACAATGCAAAGGAAAGCAAGCAGACACAGATGTGCGAGCTCACCCAGCAGCCCACCCCTCGACCCCTGCCCACATAATGTTGCTTTGGCTCTTGAGTTGTCAGTCACCTGTCCTCAGGTGTGAAGTATTAAGAGGAAATTTTCAGAAATAATGGTGAAGTTTAAACTGTGTGTAGATCTGATAGCAAAGTGCATTCTCACTCGGCCCCATGCCACCCTGCCCTGGCCATGAAGCCCTCCTGCCACCAGGTATCCACGCCGTATATGCTTCCCATTGTTGGTCACCCAGAGGCTGTCTGGGTTCTTGCACCCTCTGTGGGAATGTGGCCGTGCTTTCGTCAAGCAGCCATACATGCCTTTGTCAGCACCCTAAGGTGCAAGGGAAGAGATGCTGGCCACTGGCATACGGCAAAGAATCCACGAAGTGATTCCTGCAAGTGTCAGCGAGAAAGTGAGCCACTGAGCGATGCCAGCATCCTATCCTGGAGAGCTGATTCCAGCGCCAGGTGCTCGGCTGCTGATCCAGCTCCCCATGAATGCACCTGGGAAGGCAGTTGATGATACTCCAAGTATGGGCGCTCCTGGGGCTGGGGGAGACCAGGATGGAGCTCCAGGATGCTGGCTGCAACCTGGCCCAGCTGCGGCTGTTGCAGCCATTTGGGGAATGGATTGAAGATTTCCCTCTCTCTCTCTCTCTCTCTCCTCCCACCCTGCTGTTCTTTCAAATAAATAAATAAGTCTTATCAAAGAAAAGGTGAATATTCTCAACTTAAGAAGGAAAGAAGAAAAATGGACCCTGACATTGGGAAGGTCTGTGATAGAACAAACTCTTCTATGAAACTGTGGAGGAAACAGAAGTTTTTGTCCGTTTCCCCGCAGGACCACAAGCTGCCACCATCACAGCACAGCCTGTGCATGTGCACAGGGAAAAGGTGTGCGGGTTTAGGCTTCAGCACCATCTGAGCATCCAGGATCTGCTGGGGGACAGCCAAGGCACACCCATGGAGAGGGGGTACAGAGAATTCTACGGATGCCCCATGCAGTCACTTTGCCGAGACACAAAAGCGGAGGCAGAGGAATGGAATCCTGCCGGCCAGGGCGACGCCCTGAGCCACACACTTCCTCAGGGCACCCCTGACCTCACTGTTCCTCAGGCTGTAGATGAGGGGGTTCAGCATGGGTGTGAAGATGGCATAGAAGGCCGACACAGCTTTGTCATGGCTGGCTGACCTGGAGGACCTGGGTCTCATGTAGACAAACATGGCAGCTCCATAGAAGAGTCCCACCACAGCCAGGTGGGAAGAGCAGGTGGCCAAGGCCTTCTTGCAGGCTTTTGTGGAGCGCATGTGGAGAACAGCAGCCAGGATGAGGCTGTAGGAGATCAGGATGAGGGAGAGGGGGACCAGGAGCATCAACACGCAGCAGATGTACATGGCATACTCAAAGACAGACGAGCGGGCACAGGCCAGGCGCATCAGTTCGGGAGCCTCGCAGAAGAAGTGGTTGATCTCACGTGACCTGCAAAACGGGAAGCTCAGGGTGACGGCAGCCTGCAGGAGGCCGTCAGCAGCCCCCAGGATCCATGACCCCACGGTCACTTGCAGACATAAGCGCCAGCTCATGAAAACCAGGTAGCGCAGTGGGTGGCAAATTGCCACATAGCGGTCGTAGGACATGGCCGCCAGGAGGAAGCTCTCCCCACCGGCCAGGGTCAGGAAGAAGAAAATCTGCGACCCACACCCCGTGCGGGAGATGGACTTCCTTCCGGTCAAGTAGTCGGCAGCCATTTTGGGCACCGTGGTGAAAACCAGCATGACGTCATTGAGGGAGAGCTGGCTCAGGAGGAAGTACATGGGCGTGTGGAGCCGGCGGTCCCGGGCAATCAGGAGAAGCATGAGTGCATTGCCCACCACAGAGGTGAAGGCAATGATCAGGACCAGCGCAAAGAGAAGCTGCTGGGCTCGCGTGTGGTTGAAGAGCCCCAGGAGAACGAAGTCTGCCGTGGAGCTCGCGTTGTCCATGGTGGCAGACTGCGGAGGCACTGTCCTGGGGGACCCAGCCAGCAGACGCTCAGCACCCACAGGGCTGCCGTGAGGACGCGGTCAGCAGTCTCTAAGCACCCTTATTTCAATAAGAAATAGGATGTCACGTAAACTACAATCTTTTCAGTTACTCTGCCTACATCGTCAAGGAGATCTGTGAGTTTTAGAGAACAATTGTAAAACCACCAAGGCTTTTGGTTCACAAAAGCATTTTCTTATTCTGAGGTTTAAGAGACTTTTTTTTTGAAAGGCAGAGTTAGTGAGAGAGAGAGAGACAGAGAGAAAGGTCTTCCTTTTCTGTTGGTTCACCCCCTAAATGGCCACTATGGCTGGTGCGCTGCACGGATCCAAAGCTGGGAGCCAGGTGCTTCCTCCTAGTCTCCCATGCAGGTGCAGGGCCCAAGAACCTGAGCCATCCTCCACTGCACTCCCGGGCCACAGCAGAGAACTGGACTGGAAGAGGAGTAACCGGGACAGAATCCGGTGCCCCAACCAGGACTAGAACCCCGGGGTGCCGGTGTTGCAGGCGGAGGATTAGCCAAGTGAGCCTCGGTGCCGGCCAAGAGACTTTTAATTGGAAATCATTAGCACATGATTTTTTATGGTGACAGGTATTATATCTATACTTTTAAATGAGCAATAAATGTGTAAAGTGACTATCATTATGAAATTATTGCCTATTCTCCATAGAATAATGTTCAGGTCATTGGAGGGAAAGGTCAAATAAATGTGTCAATTTAAGCTGAGTAAGGTGTCAGCACCTTTCTGTCAGACTTCATAGCGGTATTTATTTTACTAATAAATCACTTTCCGTCGATATTATACAAGTGAGACCATTGGCCACCAGTTAAATGTGTGTCAGCACAAAGAGCGACAATTCCTAAAAATCAACCACAAATTAAAAAAAAAAAAGCGGTTGAAGTTCATAATGAAAAATTGAGTTATTTTGCAATTAAAATACCTAAAAATTAAAAGGGGTGGGGGGAGACACAGGCTCAAAACTGCCTGATGCTGGGCTAGGAAATTTGTCTGCCCTGGAAAATCCAGGTTTTCCTTTTCCTCCTCTCTGGGACTGCGGGAAGCTGGGGCTTTGCTGGCGCTGTTTGTGCAGTTTCTGGAGCCTTTCACTCGGGTGATGCTGACTTCGCCACATCTGCCTTAAACCTCACGCTGCCCTTCAACGCTACTGGAAGGCACAGATGAATGCCTTTGTTTTTCCAACAAAACCCTTGGATCAATCATAGAAAATTTAGCACAGATTCTATCATTTCCCATTCTGCATTTTCCAATTTTATTGCCAAAATTGGGTATGAAAACTAAATTCCTTACCAGAAATGTTGAAGTGATTAATTGATGTTCCATGGGAAAAAATGAAGTGGTTAAGAGGTAAGTCACTTGACAGATTGATGGGTGGCTGTCAGTGGGAGATGCTTTATTTGTTGACTGCAGCTAGACGAGAGCAACCAGCCACACTGTGGAGAGTGAGTGGCAGAAATGTAGCTTCTGGAGCTAAGACGCTGAGCCAATCACTGAATCCTAGGAAGGCAGCAGGGTGTGCGCACAGGTATGATGCATGGGCGCATCCCACAGTGGCACTGTTCCTGTCCCCCCCCCAAGCGTCCACTCCTCCATGTCCGCATCTTGCATCAGCCCCTGGAGTGTTCCATGGAGGCGTGTGGCCTCTTGCCAGCCTTGGCTACAAACACAGTCTCATTAACATGCCCCAGCTGAGGACCTGCTCCAAAGATTCTACCTTGAGTGGGGTTGGGAGGATTTTCAAGTTTCCCAGTTTGATGTACTTCCTACCTGCCCCAGAAAGCTGTGATTCACCAAAACAGAGCAAATAAGTTAGGGGAACAGTAAGATACAAGCCAAAGTTCTTGGGAAGGGATGGTTATTGAAAATCACATTGCAGTGTGAAGAAATGTGGCCCTGGCATTGTTCTGAACTTCAACAGCATGCTACAGCTCTGGACAGAAACAGCCACTAAAATATGAAGCCTCAGTGGATTTTAGCTTTGTTGTTCTGTCTCATGTTCAATCTGACAGAATCGATGAATTGCACATAGCAACTTGTTTGCATATACATAGTATAATTGCATTTGGAGGGAAGCATTGTGGCACAGCAGGCTAGGCTGCCACCTTGCTGTTGAGGTGGCCTGGGGAGTGAAACAGAAGAAGGAAGAACTCTGCCCGCATTCTTGCTGTGGGAGTACTCTGTCTTTGGAATAAATACATAAGTCCTTAGGTTATACGTATGCATATAATTGTACTTTTAGGTTGACTTCCTCGTGTCTGCCTGACAAAACCAGTGATGACAGCAATGACCCACTACACAGCTTGCACTCATGATGCCTCCCATCCATCCAGTACTGCACTTCCTGAGGGGCCACTGCTCTTCCTTCTTAATAATCTCTGTTGCCGAGTGCCTTGGAATCCCATCCACATCCTCCATCTCCTGTGACCTCTGGTGATGGGCAAGCTACCCTGTAAAAACCGTGAGATACTAGAATCCCTTCAACTAGGTGAGATGTAATTGCTATTTTCTTTGTTGGGAAGGAAAGTATATCATAGACTTATAATATTTATTGATATATATTTTATGTATTTATTTGAAAGGCAGAAACAGAGGCAGAGAGAGAAACAGACAGACACACAGATCCCCCAGCCACTGGTTCACTCCCTGATGCCTGATCCAGCTAGGGCTGGGCCAGGCTGACGCCAGGACACCCAGGATGTGTGGGGTCTCCGACACGGCTGTTGGGAGCATCAGCTGCTGCCTTCTGGTTGCCTCAGCAGGAAGCTGGAATGAACGTGGAGGTGGGACTCAGTCCCAGGCACGCTGCGCCCTCACTCACACAGGCTGTGTCCCAGGCTGTGCCCGGGCAGGAAGCTGGAGTCCCGAACGAAGCTGATCTCAGACCCAGGCGCTCTGGAATGGGACATAAGTGTGGCAGTCCCCCACAGATTTCAGTGACACTGCTGCCTTTATGCTGAATCTCATCAAAATGGTCTCTGATCTGGAACGAGACCCGTCACTGCACAGTCTACACTTGCTCCTCTCTCTCTAACTCTACCTTTCAAGTAATTACAAATTAAATATTGAAAACACTGGGCAATCGAAGTGGAATTTTCACTTCTCAAGTGATGGTTTAGCATCTCTGGAAGTGCAGGTGAGAACCCCCACTTCCACATTCCTCTCTCTCCTTTGCACACTGATGAGAGCCCACCCAGCCCTGGGGGTTATGGGGAACCCCCCCTTAGACCAGCACAGGCCCTAGAGCTCACACCCAGGGGTGCTGGCTTTGAATGTCAGAATTCACATGGCCCAGAGTGATTCATGCAGAAGAAAGCTGAGAGTGGCCACATGTCTCTGTTGAACTCTGCCAAAGTCGCACAGATGCTGTTGATGGAAATCACGGTAAAAGAATGAAAGCTCCCATGTTCTGTACACAGCACTTCATCTCTGTGCCTCTTATTACAACTTCTTCCTGAAGCTTAGTTTTGCCAAAACCAGCCTGCTCAGCACCCCCTTCACCTCCTTGTTCCTGAGGGTGTAGATGAGGGGGTTGAGCAGGGGCGTGACGATGTTATAGAAGAGGGTGAGCACCTTGCCCTGCTCCTGGGAGCTGCCACGGCCCGGCTGCATGTACATGTAGACGATGTTCCCGTAGAACAGCGACACCACTGTCAGGTGCGAGCCGCAGGTGTTGAAGACTTTGTGCCTTCCCGAGGAGGAGTGCATCCTTAACACTGCCCTCAGGATGTAGCCATAGGAGACCAGGATGAACGCCAGGGGGCACAGCACGATGCCCACCGCCAGGACAAAGACGCTGCCTTCCACGGCTGCCGTGTCCACACAGGCCATGCGGATGAGGGCCGGCATCTCACACAGGTAGTGGTCCACATGCCGGTGCCCGCAGCGTGGCAGGCTCAGGGTCACTGGAGACATGGCCAGGGAGTTGGCCACCCCACAGCCCCAGGCCATGGACACCAGCCCCAGGCAGAGCCTGGGACTCAACATCGCCAAGTAGTGCAGGGGCCTGCAGATGGCCACGAAGCGGTCGTAGGCCATGACGGCCAGGAGCAGGCACTCCACGCCCCCCAGCGCCAGGAACAGGAAGAGCTGCATGGAGCAGCCCCCATAGCTGATGGTCTTGTCCTGCCCACTCAGGTTGTAGAGCAGCTGGGGGATGGAACTGCTGGTGAAGCTCAGGTCCAGGAAGGACAGGTGGGTGAGGAAGAAGTACATGGGGGTGTGCAGGTGCGGGTCCAGCCGGGACACCAGGATGATGGCGCTGTTGCCCACCAGGGTCAGCACATAGGCGATCAGGATGACCGCAAACAGGACCCTCTCCAGAAGGGGGTGGTGGGAGAAGCCCACCAGGATGAAGTCCCCAAGGCTGCTGTCATTGGTTCTGTCCATCTCTCCTGCCAGGAACAGTTACCCACACTGACAGGAGCACCCCGCATCATCAGACTTACTGTTTGCTGTGTTGCAAGATTTGAGTTAATGTTGGTGCGTATTAAAGCACTCCTGTGCACTGTGGGCGGCCGTAACGACACAGTCTGGAGAATTAGGACGATTGTTCAAGACAATCGAACGTCTACCTTGTTTAATGTTTTGTTTTTTCAATGCATTAGGCTAGGAGGATCTGTAACAAAATGAAAGCAGCCAATTACTTTGAAGAAGCATTTCACAGAAAATAATGCCATACAAGCACCTAAGTCACTTTAAACATTGTGAGTGTCCTCACAGAGGCTTGTGCTAGGAAAGCTAAAACACAAATGCAGCATTCCTCTCCACACAGGTGAGTGCTTGGAAACCCAGCCCTGCCCAGAGGTCAGAAGTGGGAAATGCAACTCCCATGGACCCTGGGTTTATGCGGAATGGCACCTCTCAGCGATCCCTAAAATATTACTGTTTTAAACATACACACACACATCTTGACACTGTGTTATACCTTCACTTATCTAATATGTTGAAAGGCAGTGAGACGGAGTGATGAGGGGAGGTGGAGAGAGAGGGGTGGGGATGCATCTCCCTTCAGTAGCTTCACACATGCCCTCACAGGAGAGCCAGGACCAGGCAGAATCTGCGGGCTGGCGCTCAATCCAGCCATCCCACATGGATGACCTGCTGGCTCTTAGTGTGTGTGTGAGCAAGGAGCTGGCGCTGGGAATGGAGCGGTTCCTGCAACCAGGCACTCTGATTGGGTTACAGGTATCCCAGTCAGTGTCTGATCTGCTATATGGAACACCGCCCCATAAGTGTCATTTTAACAAAAGAAACAAATGTCTCCCATTGAACTTAAAATCACGCCTTTACTTTGGCCTCACTAATTCCACGTCTAGTAATGTATCCTGCATTTATTAACTCCCAACTGATATACAGCCACCGCTAGATTCTTCATTCTTGTAGCCCTGAAGTAGAAAATACTTTGAAGTAATGCACCTGGGTGACGTTCCAGGCATGAGTCAACAGACGACGACACCGCTTTGAGCTGGAGACAAATTTTAGCAACGTCTCAGAAGTATGTGTATGTGACATCAGCCGGAAGTTTATCCAAAAGAATAATACTCTAAACAAGTGGGAAGTTAAATAGAGTATAGAGAGAGGTTGTGTGTAGTGTCACTGCATTGCCCTCTCACCTGCTCTCTCTCTGGGGATACATCACGAATCGTATGATGGAGATCCTGCATACAGTGGAACACAGGGGTGTGTGTAGGTGTGGCTGGGTTTTCTCTTAAACAGCACCAGGATCTCCAAGCACACACTTCCGGCTCGGGGCGACTTTCATTTCCCATGACCCCATCTTTAACACCTAATACCCAACGAGCTCATGGCGTTGGGAAGAGCACGTGTGTGTGTGGTAGAACGTTGGAGTCAGAGGATTCCCTATGCACTGTTTCCTTCCCTCTGCACTCACTGCTGCATCCTCTTCACTCCATCATCCCTCTCAGGGATCATCGTCCCAGCCACCTTACTAAACAAGAATTTCCTAAAATGAAAACAGTGAACAGCAGGGAGAAAGGCACAGGTCACTGCAGTAATTCCACCGCACCTGGCAAAGCTCTGCGCAGCCTCAGGGTCTCAGTCTCAAGCCGGCTGTGACAGGAGAGCAGAGTAGTGGCCAGGGCTGACTCTGGATGCCAGGATCGTCTCCTGGCTGAGCTGGTGGGCAGGCTCCCCTGGGGACTTGCGCAGATTTAAAGGGGACGCTGGACTCAGGCTTCCTAGCCACCGTGCAGCCATCTCTCCTCTCAGAGAAAGCTGCTGATGCCCACTCCTTTGGGCCCTGCCCCCCGCCAGAGTCCCCCAGAGGGCATATCATGCTGTCGTCCAAACCTGGGTGGACTCAGCAAAGATGAGTTTTCAAATGGGCAATAAATAAATAAATGGGAATAAATAAATGAGGTTTTTCAAATGGGGGAATGAATGCTGCTTCTCTCCCCAAGCCCAAAGCACAAGCACAGGGCGGGAGGACTTGTCCCTGCAGTGCCCTGGGGCTGCCGCACACCTCTCAGGAACGTTCAAGCCTGACTGGGTGGGAAAGGCGGATCCTGTTCAACATAACGGTCCTGGTGCACAGTTCTCTGGGCCTCCAACCCTCCCCAAGTCCCTCTGCAGCCACCGTAGACTGCATCTTGTTGGCCCTACTTAGGCACCTTTGCTTGTACATAGCAAAGTGCCCTGCACGTCACATGGATTTGTCACCACTGTCAAGGTTCCCCTCCTGGTGCCGACCAGACCAAGCCATCTCTCACACCTGGCACAGCACAGGTGCTCTGCTAAGCTGGGCCACCCACCAGGTGACCAAGCACCATACAAGGTCCCCTGGAAGACCTAGTACTGCACTCTTCAAATCTCACCCTCCCTACCCCCCACCACAGGAAACAGTGCCTCTCCGTGACGCCACACTACGGGCAATAACTGAATCCTCCAGCAAACAGACCAAGGACTGCAGACCGGGGGTTGCTCAGACGGTGGCCACCCACTCGGGGGACAGTGTAGCTGGGAGCCTGGGAGCCCAGGGGTGTGCCCAGAGTCACAGGGCAATGCCCTTCTGCCCAGGGTGCTGGCAGAGCAGTCACCACCCCCAGTGCCCCTGCTCCATCTCAGATGTGTTTGCACCCAAGCCATAGCCAGGACCCATGCTTGTCTCAGCTCCTGGAGACTGGGGCACTCACAGGATGGACGATTTCAGTTCATTTTTAAATGCTCACATTTTTAGATAAAAATGTAGCTTTGAAATCTTAAAATACAGATAAATCTTTAAACCTGGAATATTAAAGACCTTGAAACCAACGGAAGCAGAAGCATGGCTGGCAAGCAGAGACACGCAGGTGCCCTCGGGGCAGGGGGTGCAGGCTGAGGGGTCCCCTCAGGCAAAGTAAAACTCACACCATAGATCCTCTTTCCTTGATTCTGCCTGACGAATCCTAGAGAGTCCTTCCCCCTACAAAGTCTAACTCTAATGTTTAAAAAATGTGTTTCTTTGTATACACAGACAATGCCATGGCTGAGGAAGAACTTCTAAGATCAATCCCATTCACAATAGCTACAAAAACAATCAAATACCTTGGAATAAACTTAACCAAAGACGTTAAAGATCTCTATGATGAAAATTACAAAACCTTAAAGAAAGAAATAGAAGAGGATACCAAGAAATGGAAAAATCTTCCATGCTCATGGATTGGAAGAATCAATATCATCAAAATGTCCATTCTCCCAAAAGCAATTTACAGATTCAATGCAATACCAATCAAGATACCAAAGACCTTCTTCTCAGATCTGGAAAAAATGGTGCTGAAATTTATATGGAGGCACAAGAGACCTCAAATAGCTAAAGCAATCTTGTACAACAAAAACAAAGCCGGAGGCATCACAATACCAGATTTCAGGACATACTACAGGGCAGTTGTAATTTTTATTTATTTATTTATTTTTATTTTTTTTTTATTTTTATTTATTTATTTATTTTTATTTTTTTTTTAATTTTTTTTATTTTTGACAGGCAGAGTGGACAGTGAGAGAGAGAGACAGAGAGAAAGGTCTTCCTTTGCCGTTGGTTCACCCTCCAATGGCCGCCGCGGCCTGCGCGCTGCGGCCGGCACACCGCGCTGATCCGATGGCAGGAGCCAGGAGCCAGGTGCTTTTCCTGGTCTCCCATGGGGTGCAGGGCCCAAGCACCTGGGCCATCCTCCACTGCACTCCCTGGCCACAGCAGAGGGCTGGCCTGGAAGAGGAGCAACCGGGACAGAATCCGGCGCCCCAACCGGGACTAGAACCCGGTGTGCCGGCGCCGCTAGGCGGAGGATTAGCCTAGTGAGCCGCGGCGCCGGCCTCAGGGCAGTTGTAATTAAAACAGCATGGTACTGGTACAGAAACAGATGGATAGACCAATGGAACAGAATTGAAACACCAGAAATCAACCCAAACATCTACAGCCAACTTATATTTGATCAAGGATCTAAAACTAATTCCTGGAGCAAGGACAGTCTATTCAATAAATGGTGCTGGGAAAATTGGATTTCCACGTGCAGAAGCATGAAGCAAGACCCCTACCTTACACCTTACCCAAAAATCCACTCAACATGGATTAAAGACCTAAATCTACGACCTGACACCATCAAGTTACTAGAGAACATTGGAGAAACCCTTCAAGATATTGGCACAGGCAAAGAATTTCTGGAAAAGACCCGGGAGGCACAGGCAGTCAAAGCCAAAATCAACTATTGGGATTGCATCAAATTGAGAAGTTTCTGTACTGCAAAAGAAACAGTCAGGAGAGTGAAAAGACAACCGACAGAATGGGAAAAAATATTTGCAAACTATGCAACAGATAAAGGGTTAATAACCAGAATCTACAAAGAGATCAAGAAACTCCACAAAAACAAAACCAACAACCCACTTAAGAGATGGGCCAAGGACCTCAATAGACATTTTTCAAAAGAGGAAATCCAAATGGCCAACAGGCACATGAAAAAATGTTCAAGGTCATTAGCAATCAGGGAAATGCAAATCAAAACCACAATGAGGTTTCACCTCACCCCGGTTAGAATGGCTCACATTCAGAAATCTACCAACAACAGATGCTGGCGAGGATGTGGGGGAAAAGGGACACTAACCCACTGTTGGTGGGAATGCAAACTGGTCAAGCCACTATGGAAGTCAGTCTGGAGATTCCTCAGAAACCTGAAGATAACCCTACCGTTCGACCCAGCCATCCCACTCCTTGGAATTTACCCAAAGGAATTTAAATTGGCAAACAAAAAAGAGGTCTGCACCCTAATGTTTATTGCAGCTCAATTCACAATAGCTAAGACCTGGAACCAACCTAAATGCCCATCAACGATAGACTGGATAAAGAAATTATGGGATATGTACTCTTTAGAATACTATACCGCAGTAAGAAACAACGAAATCCAGTCATTTGCAACAAAATGGAGGAATCTGGAACACATCATGCTGAGTGAAATAAGCCAGTCCCAAAGGGACAAATACCATATGTTCTCCCTGATCGGTGACGACTGACTGAACACCAAGAGGGAAACCTGTTGGAGTGAGGTGGACACTATGGGAAACGGTGGCTTGATCAGCATAGCCCTGACTGTTAATGAACAACTTAATACATTATCCCTCTTAGTAGTTTTTTTATCTGTTCTACTTAATATGACTGGTTTAGATCTGTAATTGATGCACAGTTATTCTTAAGTGTTGAAAATTAACTGAAATGTGATCCCTGTTGAACATGGTGGTGGGAATGGGAGAGGGAAGAGATGTATAATTTGGGACATGCTCAGGCTGACTTGCCCCAAGTGGTGGAGTTGGAAGCATACCAGGGGATTCCAATTCAATCCCATCGAGGTGGCATGTACCAATGCCATCTCACTGTTCCAGGTGATCAGTTTCAGTTCACAGTTGGTCATGGTGGAGGGACTGGGAGTCAAAGGGAGCACATCGACAAGTCTAGTACCTGCTAACGCTAACCGATGGAGTAAATAAAGGGGAGAGTGATCCAACATGGGAAGTGAGATACTCAGCAAACTCATAGAATGGCAGATGTCCTAAATAGCACTCTGGCCTCAGAATCAGCCCTAAAGGCATTCCGATCTGGCTGAAAAGCCCATGAGAGTATTTCAGGCATGGAAAGCCAAGACACTCTGGCAAAAGATCTCTGCGAGTGAGATCCCAGTGGAAAGAACAGGTCATCAAAGAAGGAGGTACCTTTCTCTGAAGGGAGGAGAGAACCTCCACTTTGACTATGACCTTGTCTAAACAAGATAAGAGTCGGAGAACTCAGAGGGCTTCCATAGCCTTGGAAACTCATGACTGGAGCATAGGGAGATTACTGATGCCGTAGACAGGAGTGTCAATTGGTAAAGTCAACAACAGGAGTCACTGTGCACTTACTCCTCATGTAGGATCTCTATCCTTAATGTGCTGTACATTGAGATTTAATGCTATAACGAGTACTCAAACAATATATTTCACTTTGTGTTTCTATGGGGGTGCAAACTGTTGAAATCCTTACTTAATGCATACTAAACTGATC